AACTAAGAGTAGGTCAGGAGTTATCGTACAAAAAACGCACATAAATTAATAGGAGGCCTAGGAATGAAAAACAAAGATAAACTCTTAGATAAAAGAGATCAGAGATATAACATACACCGGTGTTTAACTTGCGCAAATGTTGCCCATTTCTAAAGAAAGACCCGAACTCTGTGATAAGGACGAACTTTGTTTAATAGCATCATAATGAACTATTATTTAAAATGATTTATTTAAAAATTTTGTATTATGAAATAAATCATAACGTGATTTTTTAATATCAGACAGATACTACATTTTATGTAAAGAGAAGAACTTTTATAGAATATTTTGTTAGCGTTTATTTCACGAAGTATAGATATAAGAAGTCCGAACGTAATGTTGAATGAATGGCATCAATTTGGGAGACAGACTTTTCGCCGGTAGGGCGCGCCACTTTTGAAGAAGTACTCGTTTAATTAATTATTATTTGAAAATTAAACAAATTTATTAATCAAGCATTTGTTAAAAACAAATTTTTAATATTATTTAGAGGTTACTCACTTTCGGTGCTTTGAATAAAGCCACTTTTCCTAAATTCTCATTTGAAAGAACTAAGATCTGGGTTTAATATTTGTGTACATGAATCCTACAAAAAAGCCTATAACGTTCGGACTCCATATATGGTTTATTTACTACGGAATTCTGTTTTGTATTGTAACCTCAGAAAAAGTATATTAAAGCTTCTTTCTTTAGGAATATTAATTAATATAGAGGATGAGTCACATAAAACTCTAGATATGCATATGTCTGAAACCAAATAACGTTTTAAAATTTAAACCTATTAAAAGCCATTTGGTCGCTAGGGAAGGCTGATTATCGAAATAAATGATCGATCATGGAAAATAATCGATTATTTTCAATCAATCTGTTTTGTTGTATTTCCTTTAAAATGGACTATTTGATTATCTTTAAAAAATAAAAATAATGGATTAATTAAAAAGCTAATTAACCGATAAATCAGTGTTTACAAAAAATAATAAACGAATTATCGTTTATTTTAAATAATCGATTATTTTAAAATAATCTATTTTTTTCGTATTTTTGAAATAGATTATCCGATAACAATCGATTAATTAAAAAGTCGATTAACTGATAAATCGATAATTCTAAAAAAATAACCGAAATGTCGATTATATAAAATAACCGATTATATTCGATCAATCGTATTTAATTTAGAACAAATTATTCGAATGCCTTTAAAAAATCGAAAATAATCGATTAATCCAAAAAATATTTGGTTAATCGAAAATAATCAATTAATTAAAAAACCGATTAAACGATAAATCGATTTTTCTGAAAAAAAAATCGATTATTTTCAATTAATCGATTATTTTGAATAAATCTACTTTCTTTTTGTATTTCCTTTAAAATCGATTATTCCATTAACTTAAAGAAAATATTCGATTAATTGAAAATATTCGATTAATTGAAAATAATCGATTAATTATTACGGATAAATCGATTTTCATAAAAAATAAAAGAATAACCCCTATCGGTTGCTTGCTTTTATCCAAGTATTTAGCTCCAATATTTAGAGATTCGGATTTTTTTGAAACCGCATTCGATTGTATAATAAATAATAAATATTTCTAGAATTTGTGTTTTTTACTAGTAAAGCTACCATTTCGCAAGCCGAGACCGAGACCGACTTCAAAACGCGAGGGCGGCCCAAAACGGTCTCTTCGCATCTGAACACATGTATTTATAAGAAACACATTTCGGTAGAGGCAACAGACGGCATCAGATTTAATATGGCAATATTTGCCGCTTCACTGGTGACTCGGTCTTCTGTTGTTTGTCGCGCGTTCCCAAATAGATAATCATTATGTTTTTTATTTAAAATAAAATAAAGAATTAATAGGGCATCATAAAAAGAACATGCATGCCAAACACAACGATTTTGAATTATCTGATTCACACTGATCTAAAAGAAGTAGGTACCTATTATTTTTCATTGGTTTTTGTTTGTTTCCGTACGTTAAGTATATATTAAAAATGTTATTATTTGTTTTTATTCTTTGTTTACTTTCTAATTTGGGTAGAAAAATGTCGTTTCTTATATACTTGTTATTTTTATTTACTACACTGCAAATTATAATTATTTCCCCCTGTATTAAAAAATCTTCTGTTCAAATCTATGGTTTTTTTTACCCATACTATTCCAGCCTCAGGCAACACTGCCTAAATCGAAAGAACTTTCCAACTACCAATTCTATAAAATATCAACTAATCACCTCCAAATACAAGCGATGTCTGAGGACAGTGACCTCGAGTGCGACACGCAGCAAACGCTTTGCCCGGAGACCGATCCAAAGTGTCGTCGAGATCTGTCTCTTCGGTCGCGCCGTGCGAAATGTAATTGCATGTGTTCCAGACGTGAAGAAACCGTTCTCGGTCGTGTCTGTTCTCGTCTGTCGCACCTACCGAAATGATACCTTTAAACATTTTTTTTGAGTTGTTCGGGTTTATAATGTAACATTTTATTAACAATGTGACTAACTTTAGTATTTTTTTGCTTATACTAGATCATATTGTGCGTTTTACTTTGTTTTAAGACTTCAGATTCAAATGTCACTTCCGATTTGGCCGCAAATAAGATGAATCTTGAAATTTTAATTAGGTCATCCTGTATTTCATCTAATATTCTCATAAAAATACCTTATAAAAATAAAATTTCGCTAACAATTATGCTTCTTTACTTTATATTTATCTAATAGGTTGCGGTCGTCATAAAGACTGCGTATAAAGATCAAATTATGGAAGAAATCAGGAATCATTCGGAAAAGAGTACCTACGAGAATGTTGGCTAACGAAGTCGGATAAAAAGTCAACAGCTATTATCCATTTCATGCTTTTGTGATGATTTTGTGATTGCCTTTTTAAAGAAAATCGGCATGATATAAATTTTGTAAGTCGGATACTATTTACAGATGATGCAAGTTTCACTAGAAACGGAGCGACTAACTTTCATAACATCCATAGCTGGGTGGATGAAAAAGTCAGTCGTCACCAACACAATTTTAGAATAAACATTTGGGCGGGAATAACAGGAAATAATTTAAATGGACCAGTAATTTTGCCAAATAACTTAAACGGAGAAAATTATTTAGAATTTTTGAAGACATAAATTTAGACGTAAGGCAATACATGTGGTTTCAGCATGATGGAGCGCCAGCCCATTTTAGTCAAGACGGAAGGGAGTTTCTTTTTGAAAATTATCCAGGGCGATGGATTGGAAGGGGTGCAGATGCACCTATTTCTTGGCCTGCTCGTTCGCCGGACATGAATCCAATTAATTTTAGATTTTGGGGTATTATGAAAGAAAACGTATATTCAGTTACTATTGAAAATGAAAATCAACTTTTGAACTGAATAATGTTAGCCGCTAACAGATTTAGAGGTAAACCTAATATTTTTCCGTTTTCATTAATAAAAAAAAGTAGGGTATGTATTCAAGCAGAAGGAGGAGGACATGTCGAATATTTACCAAATTAAATAGTTTATAAAATATGTATAATAATTATTGTCAAGTGTTCATTTTTAATTGTTAATTTTTTGTTAATTGTTTAATTAAAAGAAATAATTTTTTTAATTACTATTAAATATAATAAATACATTTCTAAACTAATGTGTATTTTTATCAGTCGCATGGTGGGCCCATTTTTATGGCGAAAATCCAATATTAGGAATACCTTTTTTTACAAAAATATAAATAAAAGAGGTAGTGGCTCAAGCATAGCCTTAGACCCACCACTGATTTTTATGTGCGTTTTTTGTACAATAACTGCTGACCTACTTTTAGTTTTGTATTTAAACTCCATGTTGATATGTTAAGTCCAAGACGGACGAATTGCTCTAGAAATTCAGTTAAAATTTTTTAAATAGCTCGTTAACTAAGAGAGATACAAAGTTCATTTTGCTATAAAAATAGAAATTTATAGTTCTTTTAGATTTTAAGATCGATAAAGAAAGTTTCTTTATGTCAAAAAGATACGGAGGGTTAAAAGGTACCCAACCCCCAACTTTTTTGAAGGGGGGTCACTTTAAATGTTTTTCTCCTCAAATAAAAAATCGCAAGAACAAACTTTTCACAAAAAAAAAGATTTTCTGAATGTCAGTTTAACGCCCTGTAACTTTGTTGGGAGCCAGTTTTTGATGTAGATATACCCAAATCCACTTATTTTTTGGTAATCTGTAGAAGAATTTATGACATACCTTTATGAAACACCCTGTATATTAGAACTAGTAAATATATCTAATGTACATTCAACCCTCAAATAAGTTACATATACACCAATGGTTGCTTTCTAATTTTAGTTTTACTCGGAAGAACATGATTCATGATAGATCGCTACCGAGACGGTAGTCGCGAACGGAACCCCGTATCTACTGAATATTGAAAACTGAAACAATTGTTTAAAAAGTACTATTACTCTTCAAACAATGCTAAAACCAGAGATAACAGAGATATAACCATTCATTGATAAAATATAATATCCACGATGACAAGATTAATTCGACAGTCAATATGCTTCACTTGGTTCGCGGCGAGGAGACGAAAGGTGAGAGGTAAGAGAGGGGATAAAGGATTTTACGGCGATACAATTTTTTTATGAATGAATGTGTAAGCTGTGCTGTGCGCTTATAATAAACAACGTAGAAATCCATGCCGGTGTGAGCCGTGTTGCCACATCCAACTTAACACTCGTAGGTTTTGGAATTTAGTGAAATTACATCTAATTTAGTTAAATTTGATATAACTAATGATTCAAAATTTTTTGGGTTCAGTTGCAACGAAATAGGTTGAATTATTTTATCTTTTTTAATATATGTAAATAATTTTGTAAACAAAACGAGAATAATGAAATAGACATATGACAACAGCGGATATTATACCCTCATGTGTCCCTTAGAATACGTCTTATTTATTACAGTACGATATTTGTTAGTATGTAGTTACATCTCCTGTTATCTCTGGCTAAACTGATGAATTACCTACTGCGAACACGAATTTGTTTATGCCTATGCGGTTGTAGTGGCAACACTAATTTATTAGATTTGCGATAATTAAGTTAATGCGTCTGGTAAAATATGATGATCATCATATGATATACTTCTTTGGGTCTAAGATTTGTAGGTACCTCAGATCAGGACCTTCAACTCAACTAAAGTATCTTCTCTTCAACTTCCTAAAAGACAAAACATGAAGTATAGATAATAATATAAAATGCATAAAAAAACAATCATGAGGTTTCTATTTCAAATCATTTTTGTTGCTTAGGCAACAAAAGTAACACTACTCTCTATTTTACTTAAACGCAACTTACTCTTCTAACATTTTTTTGGAAGCTTCCTGTTTCGCATTTTGTTTAGTTGTACCAATCCCCATTGCGGTCATGCCAAGAAATTGGCATTCAACCAAAAACCATCCATTCTGTGGACTTTTTTCGCAATATGTCGGATACGGAAGCCTGTTGCCTGAAGCGTATTCATGTAACTTTCCTGTATAATTTACACCATTAAGAGGAACAACCAAGTGTACAGGATGAATTTTATTAGAATTTGATAATCCAACACCAAGTTTTAGGAGAACTTCTTTTGCGCTATTTTGTTTAGCCTCTTTCTTCGTGTGTGCATAACCATCAGCAGTTATAGTGCCAACCAGTACTGTACATTTAAATGGAAACTGGGGTAAATCTGATGGCTTTTCTTGGTATATTGGTACTTGTGATCCATGTTTCACAAGAACCTCTTGGAGCAGAGAAACGGGAGATTTAGTGTTTGCCATGTTCAAAAGCTAAAATATATTGAGAACATGATTTATCTATAGAGTGAAAATAATTTAATTTGTAAATAGTTATGCATATTCTTTTTTCTTTTCCAAGATATTATTGCATTTGATGGTAGTTATCAGAAAAGCAATAAATTTTTATAGGCAAATCATATAGGTAGTACACAATGCATGCGGTAAAACTGTAAAAATTTATTTTACATTATATTAATCTATTTCAAGAAAATACTACACTTTCCGGACTATCGCATTATTTAAGTTAATTCTATTTATATAAAACAAAATGGACGGACCTAATTCGTTTAAGTGGGATTTTTTCTCAATTCATGGACATTACTTATTACCGGGTGACAATGAGACCAGGGTCATATCTCTTTTATTTACGAAGCTATTTGCATCAAATTTGAAACAAACCTACTAACAGAGGCGGATCATGGCCTAGTCTATGGCTACGGAGGGTACTATTGAAAGGTACACCCTATATACTTAATACAAATATACAGTGAGAATCTTAAGTCTTACCCCCCCCTAACTAACTCGTTACTGGAGTCTTGTTAGGAAAATCGCCGAGACAGGTCGATTTTTGTTTTCTACAATGTACATTTTTGTATGATTAGTTTACCCTTAATTTCATCCCTTACTCGAGGGGAACAACCCTTTCGAAAAATTTAAATGGCATGGGGTGGTGAGTGATAGCTCATTTGAAAGGGGGTTTTATTCTCTGTTCAACCGTGCAAAAAATTTTTAAATTTGCTTCATTACGTGTTGATTTATTAATGTTTAAAAATAACAAAATCTCACAAAATAGGGAAGCAACTAAACTAATAGTGACCTTCTAATGGCAAAAAGTCTTACTTCACGTCTGAACCAAAACCGAAATCATGCAGGGCCGAATTTTAATTCTAAGGATGAGTGTGCTACGTTAATTTCCGTTATTCTGAAACAAAAATTAGTCGAGAATTAATGAAGCAAATTTCAAATTTTTTTACATGGTTGAATAGAGAATAAAACCCTCTTTCAAATGAGCTATCACTCACCACCCCATGCCATTTAAATTTTTCGAAAGGGTTGCTCCCCTCGAGTAAGGGATGAAATTAAGGGTAAACTAATCATACAAAAATGTACATTGTAGAAAACAAAAATCGACCTGTCTCGGCGATTTTCCTAAGAAGACCCCAGTAAAGAGTTAATTAGGGGGGTAAGACTCATGATGCTCACTGTATATATTTCTACTTTTCGTATTACACAAAATACACGATACACATATTTTTTACATCTCGAGCGTTTTTTTATCCACATCGGACACATCTGTCCCATTACATTTACGTATACTGAATCACGTGATCAAATATTTACTACATCTCGGATGCGGCAATGGTATATGCTGACTTTCGATTCAAATTTCGTCCAAACCGCGCAGTGACGTAATGCGCGGGACTTCATATGCGGGACGAACTTTCAAGTTATTTTGACACTTTTCGTTTGAATAGTGTAAAATATTGTAATAATTTATTTGTGTTTGTTAGTAGTGACTATATTTTCCTGTATATAACAGAAAAGAACTGAATTAAGGTTTAAAATGCCGGACTGCGCGGTGGCGACTTGCAAAAACCATAATACGAAATCTAAAAATAGTGTAATGTAAAATTTCCAAATGCCACAAAATGTGGGTAAATTCTTATCGAAGAAAGGACACACTTAATTTAAACAATGGTTTAGAAGCAAAGAAAATAAATGGGTATTTTAAAATTTTAACAGATAAAACAGTAGTTTCATGTCCCAGTACAACGGTCTCTTTTGAAGTAATACTATGCATGAGCAGGACATGAACATATACAGTGTGTCCCAATAGTGTGTGGAAGTTCGATATATCCTATATTATAGAAAATATCAAACAATGTTATTTACAAAAGTTGTAGATAATATTAATCTGCACATTTCAAAATTATTTTCTATTACACAGAGTGATCCATGACCTCAGAATTGATCAAACCTATGTTTTTTATATAAGTATAAGATACATGAACAGAAAAATTGGTTTTGAGTATTTTCAAAGTAAACTTGACAAAAAAAATGTTTATAAACATACCAAATAAAAAGAATTTTTTTGTGTAACTATTTTTTATAAATAAATAATTTGTTTGTCCAACACGTCATAAAAAAAAATTCATGAAAAAATGTCGAACGGTTTAAGAGCAACGTTAAAAAAATTCATTTAAATTTTTATCTTATACACCCTGTAACCGTTCTGTAACTATTTTTAGGTGCACTTTTGTGTGTACGGTTTTGTGTGTACGGTTTAATCGACCTATTTTTGACCCAAGAATACGTGGTATAATTTATGACCAATCTTTTGAAACACCCTGTATATATATGGAGCGGTACATGCACGCGTCTCCCTGTGCCGTACCGCCAGTGTTGGCAACCGGAGGGAAATTTCCCGTTTCGCGGGAATTTTTAACACAAAAGGGAAAAAGTTAATTCAAAACGGGACTTTTTACTCGACCTTGGACCTTTTTTTTTGTTTAGAAGCTCGAGAGGATATGGTTTATAAAATTATAAGCTGAGCACCTTTTTTTTAAGGTCCGGGTTTTGAGGAATGAAAAGGTGGTAACCCTAAACGGGAGGGATTTTTTTCATAAAAGTGGGAATTTTCAAGGTAAGCGGAGGGAAAAATCTTACTTTAAGGTTGGCAACACTGCGTACCGCACACTCTTGAGAGCTTTTGTCTTCGGGTTGGTATTTTCTTATCATAACATATGTTACGGTTAAAGTGTTTACTTGGCTAGTTTATAGACTAGCTGGATAGCATACAAACTATCCAAATGTCCTGCTATTTTGATGGAAAATTATATTTATACTAAAATAGCTATGAATGTTGGTTAGTTTGTATATTATCCGGCTAGTTTACAAACTATACAAGATTTATCGTTAAGAGGAAAATTTACATTACAAACTGAAAGACCTGCGGGGCAACGGTAGTTTAGTAGGTATAAAAATTACAACTTTAGGGTGGAGCCTAAATACTACAAAATTACTTCCGAGACTAAACAAAATCCGCATTCATTCATAATTTTAACAATTGCCTGTATATACGAGGGATACGTATTCCAAACTCTAACGCGCGAAATTAAGACAAAGGAACCGAAAAATCCTAACACGGAGTGAGTCAGAGTTACCTAAATTAGGGGAACCAGAATCGTATTTGCTTTTCTCGGTGCATTGCGAGATATTATTATAACGCAGTTCGATTTATTAGAGGGTTTTACATTATTTTTATATTTTAATTTAGTGAATAGGTTTAGTTAGATTAAATTACATTTAAGAGTATAGAGGTGTGAAATATAAATACAAATAACGAAAAAATAGACGATTGGTTCGAATAAGGTAATATCAATTAATACAGGGTATTTATTTATTGAGTGCCGATACTTAAGGGTGTGAATCCTTTGGGTGTTAAAGTTTTAAGAAAAAAAAATAACTATTTTATCATAAGTTTCTTATCACTCTAGATATTTTTATGAAATTTTTCCCAAAAAAAGTGTTTCCACTCATGGTGGGTTCCTACCAAATTTCAACAAAATATCAAAAGCAGTTTCAATATACTGGTTTTCATTTTCTTACCCGAAAAGGGTGCTTCGTACGAAAGTACGTCATAAACCAAATTTGCTCCAAAATATATAAGAATTTTAAAGATAATTTTGGTTTTTAGAAAAAGCAGTGGCGCACCATATTTTTTTTCAAAAATAGTCAGTTCAAACCCGGCACGGACGTCACTGGTAAAAATTTAGAAGCTTTTTACGACAAAAGGCGAGATTGAAAGTGAAAGTTTAGTCTGTTGGTACATAATATACTATATTTATATATCTAATTTTTATTATTACACTGAATGTGACTAGGCTTTTTTTTGCCTTTTTTGGATCAACAAAATATTATTTTAATGATTTAAAATAAACTGCCAGTAATAATAATAATAATTATCTGTACTTAAACATATGCAAAAAGAAATCATAAAACGACGCATAAAGAAAGCACCAAATTATTAAACTTTTAATTTACGTAAGATGTGTTGAAAGTAATTTTAAAAAACCGACTTTAAAATCGTGCAGATGCCATCACCACATCTGAACCAAATTTATATGGGACCACCCTTGAGGTACCCCCTTACTAACGAAAAGAATTATAGAAATCGGACGAGGTGGTAAAGAATTATCGCTAAACATACATAAAAAATGAAAAGTTTGAGGATTTTCCCATTGACCCAATTATTAGATTTTGAATTGAACAAATTTATATGGGACCATCCCGGAAATACCCCCTTTCCAGCAAAAAAGAATAATTTAAATCGGACATTGTGTTAAAGAATTATCGCTGAACATACATAAAAAAAATATACAGACGAATTGAGAACCTCCTCCTTTTTGAAGTAGGTTAAAAAGGATATAATAATCTATATTATTTGTAATAACTAAAAAACTACTATGTGAAGTTATATACATCTTCTTAAATTAATCTTATATTATTTTATTAAAGTTGAAGGTGGTAGCCATGTGTGAGTTATAAGTTCAAAATAGGTAAATCAAACGAGGGTGGTCCTTAGGATCTCACAAGAGTATTTTATTACGACCAGTTTCGAGGATCAGATCCTCATCATCAGGTAAGGTCCGTAATTACTCATCTATTTAAGACTAAGCTAAGCTATTTTTAATCTTATATGTAAAAATGTGGGTTCGGTTCCTAGAAGAGTACCTAGTTCACTGTGCAGCCAAATTTATATTTATGGTACAGAATTTTTTGAATAAATAAAGTTTTAGGTTTAATTAAACACTAAGTTTTATCAGGAATAACATTTTCTGAAAAAAGTAACATTAAAAGCAGACTTTTGCGAGCCACTATATATATTTTAGAGGACAATCCATATTATTTTAGAAAAATAAATTAAAGTTTTGTATAATCACATAAATGTGATTTATCTTTTAGAATATTGTATATGTTTGTCAAAGTTT